GGGGGTGGGGTGGGGGGAGAGCGGGACATTGCACAGAAGGGGTGCACAAGGCAGTGGGGACCCAACTATCCGTTTTTTTGGTTTTTCAGTGGCCTGCATCTGTTTTAGCCAGGGTTGGGCTTGGCCCCAGGACCAGGCAGATCAAGAAGAACCACTCTCTAGACTTCCACAGCACACAGGGCCCAGGAAGCTCTCTGGCTGGATGTGTTCAGCACTTTTGGTTCCTCCAGGGATTTCTGAAGATTCTCATTCAAATCAGCACCGGAGTTTGGGAATCAGTGACTGGAGGCAGTGTTTCCCAGCATGTTCCGTGGAGTATCCGCCCAGAGCCTGGTCTTCAGAGGCGTATGCCTCTGCTTCTACCACTCTCTACAATCCTGTCGCTCTCTCTTATCTGCGAATCTCTTATCTGCTAACTAGATAGTCCCCTAATTTATAGGGGTGTCTACTTAAAATTGTTGAGATCTATAAATTTTAAAAAAGGAGAACTTTCTTTCTTTTAAAGGGTTACAACCCAGGCCAGATGTGGTGGCTCACGCCTGTAATCCCAGCACTTTGGGAGGCAGAGACTGGTGGATCACTTGAGGCCAGGAGTTTGAGACCAGCTTGACCAGTGTGGTGAAACCCCATCTTTACTAAAATACAAAAATAAGCCAGGCTTGGTGGTGCATGCCTGTAATCCCAGCTACTCAGGAGGCTGAGGCAGGAGAATCACTTGAACCTGGGAGGTCAAGGTTGCAGTGAGCCGAGATTGCACCACTGCACTCCAGGTTGGGTGACAGAGTGAAACTCTGTCTCAAATATAAAAAAGGGTTACAACCTGCAGGCAGGGAAGTGAAGCCTCTGGCTGAAACTGAAAGCAGACACTTCAGAGACAGAAGGGAGAGGCTGAGATTTATGCCTAGTGAGATTGGCTACACATACATATTCAGTAGGTTGTAGGACAGTCTTATAAATATTTATGATGGATCTTAATGCATGTGTAGTGCATAATCATATATGTTACATATGACCCATGCTTATAGAGACACTATTAAAATGCAGTAAACTTAGGCTCTATATGTCAAAAGGTGAAACATAAGACAAAAAGTCGCCTTGTGCTTAATCTCTGTAAACCAGCCAGGGCCGGACAGTCGTTGGTGGGCAGTCATCAGGATGGAATTCTTTGTCAGGCCGCTAGTTTTCATGGTGAACCTGTGATAAGGGAGTGGAGTCTGGCCATGGCGTCAGGTGCTCTGCTGAAGCCCGTGGAAGGAACTTGTAGTGTTTGTTGTTCAGATGTTGCTTTCTGTTTATCTCTTAGAAAAGAAAACCTGGTAACAACAAAAAGAGGTGGCTCTGGGGCATGTCTAACCTCCTATCTCATCAAAGCCAGGGAAACTTAAAGTTTTTCTGGGGTTTCCGAGTGGACCCTCAAGAGGGGTCCCTTCAGTCCATCAGAGGCATCAGATTTTATTTTGGTTCCACAGGGGACTCTACAACTTGATTCCCGGTCTCTCCTTCCTAATCCTGTCATCACCCAAAGAGATTTTAGTGGCAATGTAGATAGTTCTTCCTAGCTCTGAGCTCAAAGTTTCCCAAAGTGTATTTTTCCAGTTATGAGAGACGTTATAAGAGACATTAATGGGTGTAGGGATAGAGAGATTAAATGAGACCTATGATCAAATAAGTTTGGGAAATGATGAATAAGCAGAGTAATGCAGAAGAAGAAATTTTCATTTAAAACCAAAGCTGATAATGTGGATTCCTAATAAGATAAGTGAGCAACAACCAGGAAGGGGCCCCAGGTGTGGAGGGCAATTGTTCTGCCAGAGAGCTAATCACTGACGACCCACTGGCACGATATCCTGTTCCCAAATACCTTGCTCCACACGTAGCCCCGACAGCACGACCTCATTCTGCACATAGCCCCTCCGGTACAACCCTAGAAAACCGCCCTCCAGTCCCTGCCTTTTTGCAGACAGCCCTTTCTCTGCTGTGCTGCCCATTGCCTCCTTACAACGTATTCTCCCTCTAATAAGCTTGCTTTCTTTAACTGACTACTGTCTTGGTCAATTCTTTTTTTTTTTGAGACAGAGTCTTGCTCTGCGCCCCAGGCTGGAGTACAATGGCGCAATCGCAGCTCACTACAACCTCCGCCTCCTGGGTTCAAGCCATTCTTCTGCCTCAGCCTCCCGAGTAGCTGGGATTACAGGCGTTCTCCACCACGGCTGGATAATTTTTTTGTATTTTTAGTAGAGACGAGGTTTCACCATGTTGGTCAGGCTGGTCTCGAACACTTAACCTCAGGTGACCCACCTGCCTTGGCCTCCCAAAGTGCTGGGATTATAGGCGTGAGCCACCTTGCCCAGCCTGTCTTGGTAAAGTCTTTTGCCATCCTCAACGCCAGCCTCAGCCAGTTGCACCTGCAACAGATTGACAGCTAGTTTTTTCCTCTAAGGAATGGTTCACATCGATAAGAAAATACATACTCCATGGCTCCATTCCACTTGCGGGGACTGGAGGGGGAGGAGAAGGTAGAAAGGAAACTAACATTTCTGTGCTTCTGCACCTTTTCTGTGTTGATGACCTGCAAGTGCAGGGCAGACAGCCCATGTCACCTGATTGCCTGAGACTTTCCTGCTGTATACCTGTTGGCCAGCCAAGTTATTACCAGGCCCACTTTCACTCTCAAAAGTGTCATAGTTTGGATGATGAATTATGTGGTTACCTGTTAACGAGGCTTTGGAAATGTAAAAGTAGTTTCAAGACCTAATAAGGAGAGGAAAGAAAAGTTGTTTTGTACAATAAAGTCAGGAGAGTTGGGGAGGGGGGGAGGGGGCTAGGCAGTAAGAGGAAGGTTTTGGGGGGTAAAGGGGCTAAAATCATGGAGATGTAAAAGGCTTTCACCACAAACCTCAGTAAAGCCACTGGACACACACATGCCTTGTGGAGTATTTTGGGGAAGGGAAATTCATGAAGAGGGGACTGAAATCCA